ACCAAACTTTACACTTGGCACATTGCAGTCAGGCAAGTATTGTTCTCCTGGCAATGGCCAAACCCAGACACGTCCATTGGATTAACAGACAGAAAAGCATAATTCGTCACTCCAGAGAACACCTCTCCACTGCTTTAGAGTCCAGTGGTGGTGTGTAATACACCACTGCATCCGACGCTTTGCATTGCACTTGGTAATGTAAGACTTGGATGCAGCTGCTCAGCCATGAAAACCCATTCCATGAAGCTCTATATGCACTGTTGTTGAGCTAATCTGAAGGCCACATGAAATTTGGAGGTCATTAGCTATTGACTCTGCAGACAGTTGACGACTTCTGTGCACTGTAAGCTTTAGTATGCGCTGACCCCGCTCTGTCATTTTACATGGCCTACCACTTCTTGGCTGAGTTGCTGTTGTTCCCAGTTGCTTCCACTTTGATGCAATACCACTAACAGTTGACCGTGGAGTATTTAATAGCAAGGAAATTTCACGGATGGCTTTATTGCAGAGGTGGCAACCTATCACAGTACCACGCTTGAATTCACTGAGCTCCTGAGAGCAACTTATTGTTTCACAAATGTTTGTAGAAGCAGTCTGCATGCCTAGGTGCTTGATTTTATACACCCGTGGCCATGGAGGTGATTGGAACACCTGAATCCAATGATTTGGAGGGCTGGCCCAATACTTTTGGCAATATAAATATATATATATAATTTTTTTTTTTTTTCTCCAACGAGCTCGAAATTGCAAATTTCCCATATTATTTAGCTTGGTGCAATTATAGTTAATTGCTTGCCTAATTTTATATTTCACCATGAAAAGCATGCCATTTCCTGTCTTGAGCTCAGTACCAATTTTGCTCCCTCCATTCTGTGTTCTAGTGTGGACAGCGTGAATCTTCCTGATTGGAGCTGATTTCTAGCATGCAATTTTGTCATCTATTTGACATGTGCATATGTCACACTAATTTTATAATGCATTTTGTGCTATTAGCAAATTAGCTTCTGACAAAGTGGTTACATACGATAATATGTGTGAAGCTATCCTGTGGATGTCCTCACTATCTCCTTTTAGCTATATATGGGTATGAACCCCACAGGATCTTATTAGTTTAGTTTTCCACTTTTCCTTTTTTTTATATTGCTTTATTTTAGTATTATAGGTATGCAATATATTGGTTCCCAATTATATCTGGTATATAGTTAATTGCAACTATTGCAGAATATTGGTTAGGACATTTGCAGTTGAATTTGATATATAGGTGGTTAGTGCACACTTTATCAATATTTAGGCTTGTTTATCCCTGTGAACACTATTGGTACAACTTTTAAAATGCAATTAATGTATAGTGTTATTACAATTGTGATAGAAATATTTTTATCTGCAAGCACTTGTTTGGTTTATACACCAATTTCACATAGTATTTACGGTAGTAGTATTTCAGTGGCCTCCTTTATGAGTTACATAGGATTTGTAATTGATTTAGGGGTTAGGGTGTTATATGTTTTCTCACATTGTATTTTTTTGTTAAATTCTGTTTATTAATTTTCCAACAAACAAGAGTTCAAGCAGGGGCAACATACAACACAAACCCTCGCAAGGCCAACATATAAACAAAAATTCTGTGGTGTACTGAAGAGTACTGAATAGCCACCCCCTGGTCAAGGCCAATGTAGTCTTGTCACCCTTCTCCCTCCTTATCAACAGTCACATAGCCATATAGCACTTAGACAACAAGTTACATTCTGGCTGTGGAATTATCTTAAGCCATTTAGACCGCACTAAAAATTTTGTGGGAATATGTATCCTTGTGTAAAGGAAGGGTCATATTCACCAGCTCTTGCAAAAAGTTACAGTTAAGGGAGTAGGTTTTCCCAGGTAAGGGTAACAGCCTTTCTAGCATAAAACAAGAGAAGCCCCAGGATCGTCCCCTCAGCTACAGTAGGACCAAGCCCTTCAACCAGGCCTAGTAAACAGATTCATGGGGAGGAAGAACAAGCAATATCAGATACAGATTTAATTAAGGCAACAACAGACTCCCAGTACATAATGGCCGGACACGCCCAAAATATGTGGGTGAAATATGCCAATCCATGGGAGCATCTCCAACAGTTCGGAGAGGAAATAGGATCCATTTTATACACTTTATACTGGTTAAATATGCTCTGTGTACTATTTTAATTTTAATAAGCCTGTCCCTGAGGGAGACAAGCTGCTTTAATGTAAATTCCCAGATATCTGACCAATCTTCCCCATCCAAATCTGGAATGTCAGCCAGCCATCTATTCTAGAGGGAAGTCAGGTCAGAGAGAGTAGCATACATAAATGTTTATACAGAACAGACATAGGTTTATCTGAACAATCCGATCTTAAAGTGCTACTAATCCCAGGACCCTGCATTCACTATATCTTGTTTCCCACAATACAAACAACATGGAAATGCAATTATTTTCGTAAATATTAACTGCTAAATACCTTTTCTCATCAGCAGTTAGAGCAGTTGTGTGACTTCTATCAGTGTTCAGCAGAGCACTGCTTAAAGCTTGTAGGAGGAGTTTTCTTTCTGCTCTAGGAGGATGCAGAACCCCTGACTTCTGTCTGGACAATGCTGACTGGCCCTGTGATGATTAATGCACTCTCCCTAAGAAAAAAAAAATCCTCCCTAATAATACACACAAAACTGAGCATGTGCAGGGTGTCGCCACACGATATGTCTTATCAGGAGATGAGAGGGGGACACTGGAAGAAGGAAAGGTTCAGAGAAGTCAAGTCAGGATCAAACAGCTTTTTTCCACAATGAAGAGGATTAACCCTTTAGGCTCCACAGTGAGTATAACAGATATACTTTACTGCATATACAGGCTGATTTTACTGTTGTGGGTTTAGTAACACTTTAAAACATCCTCAAGGTCAAACATCGTTAAGGTGACTGGATCATTGGAGAATTGGCCACCAAAGCCGTGGGATAATTGCCAGTATCAAAACAAGTGTTTTTTAGGAACATTATATTTTATATGGATATCTGAGAATGAGAGCAGTTTGCCCTGGTCAATCAAATGAGAAAGCAATTTAATTTTGTATTTGGCCCAATCCTGTGGGTCAGGGAGAAATAAAAGGTGTACTTAGCCACAACAGACTGTTTGGGGAGCATTAATGTGGCGTTTGGGGTTCAAAACTTAAACTCTTACGTACTATATTATACGTATTTAACTCAAACAGAAAAAGGAACCCTTGTGAGGCCCACCTTTTTAAACCCATCGAATCACTCTTCTGGGCAGAACGCAAGTTAGCGACGCATCTTTTTAATGCTGCGAAGCTTACAATAGTAAAAGCTTGGAAAACTCCTGCTCTTAGTTTCAAAGAGGTAAAACATTGCATAAACGATATCATGGTCAAAGAGAAATTGACATCTATTCTTTCCGATTCTCACAACCGGTTCCTGCATGTTTGGCAACCCTGAATATCATACGTATATCCTTCATGTTTTGATCATACATTTTTAACACGTTACCCCTTGGGACCATTCTTCTTCTTTTCCTTTCTCTTGATGACTGTTCTTGGGGTTGTCGTGTCTCTCCTGTTTATGAACTCTACCTACCCTAGCACCATTCTTGTGACGCAGCTAGGCAATAATTGCACATTTCAACCAGGGTGTGGATGACCCTTCTTCTTTTACATTATTCTCTCCTTCCCTTTCTTCTCTTTTCTGGTTCTTGTCTAATTTTTTTTGCTAACTCTTCTTTACTACAATGTATTTCGTTGTCTTGGCTTCTCACCGTTATATTGGCTTTAGGGTCAAATAAGCATAGTAACTCCGTGAGATGTTATTCTTTTCTTGTATGGTAGGGCTTGTTGTCCTTAGGTTCTACTTCAATTATCCTAAGCTGTTACTGGTTTTTATGCTTGAATTTAAAAAAAAAAAAAAAAAAAAAAAGTCAGAAAACCATTTTCACACTCTGTTTTGGTCCTTTGCAACCGCCACTTATAACGTCGCTTCTAATATTTTGTCATGACTTGCTGCTGTACTTTATGCTACAATGTATACATTTTTCTGATGTTTTCATTATTTGGCTCTGTATCTCTGTGTGCCATTTGTCAATAAAACCTTTTGTTAAAGAAAACTTAAACTCACTTTACAGGCTTTAATTGTGTTGAGCATGGACGGCGTGAGAGAGTATGGGGCTTTAGCCCTCTGAAAAGGAGTAACTAAAGGGCTTCCAGGGAGGATAGTATCAAAGCTTTCTCACATAGTATTTAATAAAACATATATGTTTTTAATGAGCAGTGTAACTGATTACCTTCTTGAGGGAACTGTAGTGGTTTAAGAATATTGTATTAATGAAAAGAAGTGGCAAAATAAATTTTTTAAAGAAAATGCAAAACTATGCAAGGATATTTAGGCTTTAAAGGATAGGTTCACCTTTTGAACATGGGTGCAACATGTTCAAGCACACCTCCCTCTCCCCCTTAGCCCTCTCCCTTCCCTGTGACAGCAGGCAGGGGTTCCTCTTCTCCGCAGCTGCTGTCACATTTGAAACCAGCGCGGCTGTGTGGGGCTCTGCCCGCAGAGCCATAGTATTCATTCACAGGGATCTGTGAATGCACAACTACAAGTCCTGTATGCCACCACCGCAAACACACTTGTAGTTTCAATGAACTGTGAGTGTGGTGATCAGCATGCTCGTAATCCATTCACACTTTCTACAGTTCTGAAACTGTCAGCCCGTATAGACATACGGGCATAGAGCCGTAGGAAGGGTCTGCAGGAGCCTGACTGATCCACTGATCGCAGGTGCAATGCTCAGCAGGCTCCTATGAAAAAAATAATAAATGCAAGGTGAACTTATCCTTTAGAGGTTAAAGATGGTCTGGGGTCTAATTAGATTACAATTCTTTAACTAGCTGACAGCCATAAGAAGCAGTTAGAGGACCTTGACAAGCCCCCAAAACATTCCTCTGACATCTCCTAACTACACAAATATGCTGGTTGCTGGTCTTACGTTGTTCTCCTGAAATCTTTCTGAAGAGTAGGATACTCTGGCATCTTTCTGATATCTTCCCAGTCTTTATCTAAACAAAAAAACATACTTTTCAAAATAAAACTCACAGAAATTAAAGTATAAATGTATGGCATATTTTAGCAACAGATCAAGCAGCCCACTTATAAAAATGCAAAGTGTTCTATAGCGTGATTTATAAACAAGGCTGTAAGACAGCTCAGAATAACCCCTCCCACTACCATCATGCTCAAGTTTTGTGGCAAACCAATAGTAGGAGTGGATCATAAGAATAGAGGGGAGGAACCCATGTCTCATAATGTACGCCATGAAAAGTAAGGCTGCTTGAAGAACCATATAACCGAAGCCAGCATCAGGAAAGGCTTGAACATCCACCAAGTAAATCTAAAGAAACGTGCAAATAGAAGATTAGATGGCAGCCTAGCAAATCTGGGAAACAGGGCTGATGCTGAAAAGCCCATAAAGCACTAACTGACCTAGCGAACTGCACTTGACAGAGACTATAAAGACCATAAGCTTGAAAAATGAACTGTCAAATGCACCCATGGAAAGCAAAAACTAGAAGATTTATGACCCTTAGAGGGATCTTTAGGAATAACAAAAGAGAATCAGACTGTCTAAAAGCCATAGCTGAGAGGTAGACTCAAAAAGTGCATACCCCATCCAGACAGCAAAGGGAAATTTCCTCAGAATGACATGGAGCAGGACACAGAGATGGGAGAACAAAGTCTTAGTTAAGGTGAAAAGAGGAAACCACCTTGGAAAAAAACAGACCCTAACCCTCAAGATATACTTGCTTCTGTGTAGAAAAAGAAAAGGTTCTTTACAGGTTAAGGTCATCAACTCAGACGTTTGCCTTGCAAAGATGACGACAATTGGGAAGGAAGACATAGGAATATCCCTGAGAGGTGTAAAGGGTGTTTCTCTTTTAAAGAACTGACAGAACCAGGTTAGGATACTATAGTGTCAATGGGGAATGTACAGAGATTATAATGTAAGCAACACAATATACACGTAGAGGCAGGTGGTCTTTGAAAAAAAAATCACCAAGGCTGAGATTTGATCCTTGATGGAACTCAAGCCAAATGTTGATCCAGACCAGAGATCTGGAGTTTCTAGGTGAAATAAGCTTTCCATGCACAATGGTAGATTTGTGAGCTGATTTCCTAACATGCAAAAGTGAAGGGAGAACTGAATCAGATAGGCAAGGTGGTAAACCGGTCCTTGGGACAGAAGATACAGATGCTTTGGGAGGTTCCATGGAGAATCTGTCAGGAATCTAATGAGATCCGAGTACCACATCCGCCTGTGCCAGAATTCACCAGAATTTTTTCAATTTTGATACTACAGAGAAGGCGAGGAAGGTGTTTTAGTGGAGGAAGGCATGATTCAGGTTGCATGGATTCCACACAGTCACCAGCCACATCAAAGGCTAAAGAATCCGTAGACCTGGCGACAAACTTGCGGTGTTTGTTGGTGGAAGCCATGAGGACCACGTCTTGCATCCTCCAGTTAGATATCAGTCTGTAAATGTTTCAGAATGAAGACACTTGGGGCTGGAATGAGAACTTCCTCTCAAGCCAGAACCTGATTAGTGTCTTTTTGAGTGTGAGACTTTTGGTTCCTTCCTGATGATTGATGTAAGCCACTGTCATGGAATTGTCCAACTGAATGCTGGTTGGAAAATCTAGCAGATGAGAAATCTAGTGTTGAAGGGATAACCAAATTGATCATAGTTCCAGAATACTGATCGAGGGACAAGCTTCCTCCGATGACCAAGTCCCTTGCACTGAGAGTGTGTCCAGGCTGGCATCTGTTGTGAGAACCTTTCAGACCAAAGTGCAGGGGGTTACCCTGACTCCAGGGTCCCACTCTGCACCAGGCCAGGACAAACAAGGTTTTGAGAGTCAGGTGCATACAATGGTCTAGAGACTGAGCCTCCTTGTCTCAAACTGTCATAATGTTGAGCTCCAATAGTCTTCAATAAGATTGGGCATTGGTAACTGCTTAAAAAAAAGCCACCTTTAAGCCCAGAAACCTCATGCAAAAGCAGAGGGTTGGTTGGCTCCTGGACTGTAGCATCTGAACATGGAAGCAAATAGTTTGAAGTGTTTCCTGAGAAAGAAAGAAATAAAAAACAAAGTATCCAAAAGAAGGTCTAGCTACTCCAGGCATCGAGTCAGTTCCAGCTACAGGAGGGTTCAGGATCCACCTGAACCTCTGCAGAGTTTGAACAGTTTGTTTGAAGAGTGGCTGACAGAGTCTGTGTTGACAGTTCCCAGGGTAGGAGGTTGTCTAGATATCCTACCATGGGAATGCCTTTAGAGGGAAACAGAACAAGTACAGAGCCTAGGCACATTGGGAAAGACCTGAGGTACAGTGAATATACCAAAAGGAAGGCCAATAGACTGGTAAGGTTGCATGCAAGTAGGCATCCGTGATGTCTACAGAGGCCAAAAGGTTTCTGTGGAGCTAAACAGCCTGCTGTTTGCAGTTTGTGACAGTGGAAATTGAGTCCCACTTTAAAGATTCCATACAGAATTTTTGTATTTGAAAGGTGTTGAGGCCCTTTAGATCCAGCATGAGGTGAATGCCACTTTTCACTTTGGGAACTATGAAACATGATTGAGAATAAACCCTAGAATCTTTCTTCTTCTGAAACAACTGATATGACCACAAGAGGGAGGAGCTGCTGCTAATTTTTGCAAGGAATGTTGGCAGGTTTGACAACATGAGGGGCAGAGATAGAAATTCTAGCTTGTAGCCCCTGGAGATCAAAATCTGTACCCAAGCATCTGAAATGTCCTGCAACTGTGTGGTTGCATAGGGCAACAGATATTCGCCCTCTCCCTTGTTATGAGAAGAGTGAGCAGCACCCCTCATGAAAAGGATGATTTGTTTGCAGGTTACAAAGATTTGGCAGACCAGAACTCGCAGCATAACTGAGTCCCGGGCTTGATCCCGGATTTGGAGGCCTTGGAAAAACAAAAGGAACTCTTTTTAAGCTGGCAGAAAGAAAAAAAAAAAACTGATTCCATCATCCACACAGAGGAGGAATCTGCCCTGCTGTGTCATTGTATTCTGACAGTGGAGGAGTCAACTGCAATTTTTCCAGCAAGCCAATTCATGAGCAGTTGATCAGTAGGTTGATTGCTCTCAAACACGGCCAGCCACAGATGGATCAAAATTTGTCCAGTCCTTGCTGAACCGGCTACATTTTCATCCATCTACATTTAGCTTTAGCCTCCAAAGTGGGGGGCTTTCCAAACTATGGCTTAGTCTTACTCTGTAAGGGCAAAAGGGTGCTTTTTTCCCCAGTGATGTCCTTGATCAACTTGGCCAGGGATTCATAAAAGCATTCCCCATAAAGGACATACACGATAAGCGTCTATTCCTCTGATGCTCTGCAAACCAATGTTAGAGCAAAAGGATCCTACACATGTGTTCCTAACGAAAACCCATCCTGGATATTATGCGTATTATATGCACTAGCCCCTAAATAGTAGTGCAAGGCCACAGACATAAGCTTTAGCTGCTGAAGGGCAGAAAGACTTGTTAGGACAGACCCAGTATCCCAGGATCCTAGAACATATTTATGGACCAGGCACGCAGAGGAGTCTGGCAGAGGGACCATGATTGTAATGGTAAGTTGTGGGCAGGGCATGGTCTGTTAAGGAGAATTAGGCTTTGGACCAGGCCTCTAGCCTTCTATCTGGGGCCTTATATCCAAACACTAGGATGTCCTCTGCTTGGACAGTCAGAGTTTTGTTAAAACAGGAAAATGGCCGGGTCATCTACAGGGATAGCTCACTTTTTAACAAACCCTTCATTGATAAGATATTGCTGGACAAAATGCTTGGGAGTGGTAAATACTTTACCTGACTTAGACCAATCACTATACAAAACAAGTTGCAGTAGTGAGTGTACTGGGAAACATTTAACATGCTGGGGGCATCTGAGAAACCCCAGGCTGGTAACTTTTGGGACAGCTGATGGAGGTCGCCCCAGGTCCAAAGCACACAGACCACATTGATAAGGACTGAATGGTATCCTTTAGTTTGTGAATTATGTCAGCAGACTCCTCATGCACCACCTCAACCAAAAAGGACACGGAAATATTCTCCACATGTGATGTGCAGAAGAGGAGATGGTGGAAAGCTGAGCGGGTACAGGAATGCACTAGGAAAGGGTTCAGATAAGGGAGCAGGTACTAGGCATGCTCCGTTACCACCACCGGCCCACAACTGAAACTGTCAAGGCTAGAGCTCTGACATTAACCCCTGTGGGGAGAAGTGATATACAGTAGTAAGCACAACCCAGGCTTCCTTCAAAGGGTCCAGCTCTAAACGTACCACAGAAGTGGTCTGGAAGATGCCCTGGAGCCCCACAATGCACTAAAGCAGGAGAGTGCCAGGCAGGAATCTAAGGAACAAGCCCCATCCAGACAGCCTTCAACCTCCCAGTATGCATATTCCCTAAGCAGCCTTTAGGGACAGGGTTCCACAAGACAGATGCACCAAGTTCATGGAACTTTAAAGCACTCTGCAGCAACTCGCAAACTGTCTTGGAGAGTGCTTTGGTACAGCCTGCGCTGCTTCTTCCACAAAGTGGAGTCTGGGTCTTCATAGCTATGCCAAAGATTAGCAATCTAAAAAGCTGCTATAAGAGCCCCTTCTAACTCTGCAGCAACAATAGAAGCATGCTAGGAGAAAAAGCTTGGTAAGCATGGAATTCAGAGAAATGGTTTGCTTCTCCCAGAGGACACTAGCAAAAAATGGAGCATGATGGGAGTAGGAGGTTATACTAGGCTGTGTTACTCTTTGTGTCCAATCTCCTGAATTTAGCGGCATACCTCAGTGTATCAGAATTAGTTTACCCTGTGTCCTTGAATTTATGTTTAAGAAATGGCAATTTTGGTGTACATTTTCTGACCATTTATACTCTGGATGTGTGTATTGATAAGTTTAGCTGTTTTTCAAATAAATCGTTTCTAAAACAATTGTGAGCATTTTTGGAATAGTTTTACATCTGGAGTCTGGAGAGGTGTGAAGAACTATTCAGATTACAATGCATTTTTCGGTTCATTTGTACAGAAGAGAGATCATTACAGCAGTTTGTTGTCCTACTGCAGGGGGGAGAGAGACCGAGACAGATAGAGAACGATCCAAAAACTCAGCTGTAGATAAAAAATGCAGCTGTAGTAAAATCGCATTGAAAATTTGTTGCTATTCAAACATAATCGCGTGTGATTTGTATCGCACCAGCTCCCTGAATCACACTGCAAAACTGAGTGATTTTACACCGCATATGTGTGAATCTAGGCTTAAATACAATCATTTATTTTGGTAATGATAGTTCTTAACTTAAAAAAAAAAACTAACTACTCAAATTCCAAATTTTATTTAAGTAACATTTGGAATATTACTGAGTTTAGAAAAGTTAAAAATGTTTTGATTTTTGAATGTATTAAAAGTGTATATAAAGTTTTGCAGTGCTTTAGGAGGCTTCAATATATCATGCCACTTAAAAAGACAATGGGGTTGATTTACTGCAGAGTGCAATATCTGGAGCAGCTGTGCATGGTAGCCAATCAGCTTCTAACTTCAACTTGTTCAGATAAGCTTTAGCAAAAAAAACTGGAAGCTGACTGGTTTCTATACAGAGCTGCACCTGATTTTACACTCTCCAGTTTTAGTACAAAAAAGGTTAACGCCTACGTTTTGCCTAAATGACACACATAAAAATCAGCACAAAGGACATAACTTATATTTAGTATGATGCGTCGCTTGTGCTGATTCTTCTCTCCCGCATCTTCCGATGTGGCAAGGGTTATAAACAACTGAGGGGCTGATGGGAGCTCTCATCAAGAGCGCTTGACTATACCTGCCCTTTTCTGGCAGATCCACCATTCACAGAAGCTGTACTACAGTACAGTTTCTATGGATGAATCAAGATCTTAGAACAGAGGGGCAGAGCTATCAATCACCCACTTTTCCCCTATTCACAGAAGCTGAAGTATTGGCTTCTATGAATCGCACAGCGGGGTGAAAGTGTGAGCATAGTCAAGATATTTTGATGAAAGCTTTTGACAGCCCCTCAGTTTTATTAAGCCCAGCCATGCTGGAACATTTTAGTGGTGGGGAAAGGAACAATGAAAATCTCTCCTAAACCAAGAAGAGGAACCACCTGGGAGGTGCAGTGAAGAAGATATTCAAAAGATACTCAAGGGTCAGATGCGGAATATTCTTAGTGGAGGTTACAACAAATATCCTCATTGTACACAGTTGCTTTATCAAAAGCTACATAAATCAAATTTCAGCCATTAGGCCTCATGCACACTGCTGCTTTTGACATTTTTTCCTAAAGCCTCTGAACTGAACTCAATAAAAGCCTATTCATCCATACACACAAAGGCTTTTAGAAGCGTTTAACAACAGCAGTAACGCTTAGGGGCAGTTAAAAAATCGCTCTCCTGAATGCAGAAGAATCGCATTCAGGATAGGAACGTTCTTGCCAAAAAATGCTAAATGTGGCAAAAACATGTGTAAATGCGCCTAAGCGCTAACTGCATTTACAGCTTGGAAGTTTATTCATTTCATTGGCCAGAAGTAGTTCCCATTGAAATTAATAAACGCCCAATCGCTAAGCGCGGTACTGCGTTTACACACATTTTTGCCGCATTTTTTCTGCTGCTATAGTAATTTCACCAGCTGAAGAATTAATGTGCTGGAGTTTTATATTTTAGTTTATTTTAGTTTACCATATCACTGTTAAACAAAATAAATGCACAGATGATAAAACCTGATATTTTACTGATTCTTGTCCTAAGAGACGTCATCTGCCATGACACCTTGGAGAATGAGAATAAACCGGTTGACATTTGGCTTCCTATTGCCATTCCATGTAACGTTTATCACATAAAAGCTATTTATTGTATGAACTCTCTGTCCTTGGCAACGACCCAAAAAGCATATCTTTACAGCTACCACCAGACACCATGGCATCACCTCAGTTTCATACAGCTAATGGATAGATGACATCAATGTATTTAAATAAATGAAAGCACTGGTTCTTTTGGGATCTACTGTTTGTTTGTTGCACAATACACACACTTGCAAAACATCTTTTTACTTGACTGTAAGAAATCTACATGCTAAAGATAAAACATACATAATAAAAAACATTAAAAAAATTATTTAAAGTAAAGAATCTAAAGTAAGTGGTTCAAAGTCTAACAAACCTTCAAAGAATGTATTATCTAATAGATGTTTTATTCTGAAGAAATACAGCCACAATCAAAGCTAACACCTAGAGAAAGTTGTGATTTACCTGCAGGGAATCCCATCACACTGAATATTCGGTCCAGCTGATCATGGTGGAATGGGTTACTTGTTTTTATATCTTCTTGCCGACAATGAAAAATAGGCTCTGATGTTAACAACTCAGCAAAAATACAACCAATAGCCCAAATATCTGTTCAAAATAGAAATATTATGTTAGAGTTAGAGTATAGAGCAACTCAGCACAATGCAAAACCATAATTTTGATAAAATAAAAATGTGACCTTTGCAGAAGTATCTGCTTAGATAACATGGCGCCGTCTTATGTTGCAAACACACAAATTGTGCGGTACTATTTACCCTCTTACCAGGGATTTTTTTGCTCAGAGAATAGGTGCAGGAACTCCCCCCTCCTGAGTAATTTTTTGTCTCTGACCCTCCCCCCCCATCTCCGAGCACCATCCCTTGGTTCCGCCCTCCACCCACTTTCCAATACCGCTCCTTTTAGAGAGTACAGAGCCAAGTATCATTCTGTGGTGCTAAGTAATTTGCATAGAATATGTTAACGATAACAAGAAAAGCAGTAAACTGGATCCCCTGCAGCCAACAGCAATAGACCCCCCCTTCAGCAACAATGGACCCCCAACAAAATACCAACCCAGCAACAATAGATCCCAGCAGTAACAATAGACCTCCCAGCAGCCAGAAACAATACACCCCTCCCTCATCAGTAGATCCCTTCCAGCAACAATTGACCCTGCACAGCAATAAATCCCCCTTCAAAAACAATAGACCTCCTCAGCAAATATAGACACCACACAATAATAGATTCCCACCAGTGACAATACAGTAGATCCCCCAGCAGCCAGCATCAATAGACCTTCCAGGACAACCCAGCACCCCTTGCCATTACATACATTCAGTGATGAAGGTGCCGGAACTACCTCTTACACTCTGTAAATTGACCTCCCTTTTGATCCGAATGATTCAACACCAGTATGGAGCAGTGACAAACACCAGTTTCTTCTCTTGCTCTATTTTGAGGAGCAGGTGAAGTAGAATTTGCACTGGGTGGAAGAAATGAATTAGCCTAAACCTGTGCATTTTTCTTGGTCCTGGCCACAAACAGAGGTATCTTGCTGATGAATCTGGAGACCAGGAAATCCACAACTGGGATCACCATCTTTGATATATCAGGTTGAAGATGTTGGTCCAGGCAGTGATGTTTAAAATAATCCATCTGCCAGTTGTCCATTCCCGGGATGTGGACAACAGAGATTGCTGGACAGTGTTTCTCCATTCGTGAAATGATTTGGATTATGACTTATGGTGCCCCCTTGGTGGTTTGATGAAGGTCACAGCCATAGAGTTGTCTAATTGCACCTTGATTGAGTGTCCTTACAGAAAGGGAGTCCAGTGTTACACAGCCACCCTAACTGCTTGGCTTCCACCGATAACTATGTTCCCTGAACTGTGAGGTGCTGGAATAGTACTCCCTATGTAAAACTATTAGTTTAGTTCCTTACATTTTAGAAGCCTCAAGATTATCCATAATTTTAAAGGGTGCCTTGAATGGAAAAAGGTTGAGAAACACTGGTCTAGATAACCTGTGACCTGGATGCTCTGAGTTCTTAGAATGGCAGGGAGAGGTGCAAGGATGTTTTTGAAAACTAAATGGGAAAATGCAGATAGGCAACTTGGATATCTATGGATGCCAAGTATTCCCCTTGTTTCAAAGAAGCAATAACTGACCTTGCGGATCCCAAGCAATTTTTGGAATTTGAAGGTATTTGAGGGATTTTAGGTCTAGGATAGGAGGAATACCCCTGTTGGGCTTTGGTACTGTGAACAGGTTTGATAGTTCAGGGTAATCTTCAAATCTGACCATCCTTGGGCAAATATTGGTTGATCTGAGAGAAGATAGCGGTGGGGGCTATCCTTTGGAACTCTACTTTGTGACTCTGAAACCACCAATTGAACTCACAGTTCTAAGACAACTGTGAAGTAAACTGTAACAGGAGTTAGGTCTCCTGGAGAGAGGGCTTTGAAGAAGACTTGGTGGGTTTTGTGGTCCAAAGTCTTAGGCTGAAAAGAAGAGCTGAACTTAGGTTTAGATGTTGAAGCCTGGGTAAAATGTTGAGGTGCTCTGAATTTTGATGACGTAGAGGCTCTTGAGAAGTGGGGTTTTGGATTTTTCATCTGTGGAAGAACCATCCATCCTGTGACATCTTTTTTGAGTATGTTAAGTGCCTCACCAAAGAGATGTCCTCCTTCAAAGGGCATACGTGTGAGGTATCTTTTACAGTCAGCACCTTCAGCTGACCAGGCTTTGAGCCATAAGATTCTGCACATCTGGAAATTAGAGAAATTCTGGAAAATTGTGTAATTTACTTGTTCTAGGGCAATGGTACCAAATTCGTGGCTTGCCGGCAGGCCCTTAGCAGCCGTATAGATAGCTAGAGTAGCAGCAGGGTACCAGGAGCTGGAACGCTTTCTGTGTTCCAGCACCTGGCACTGAAAGAACAGCTGTACTGTTGGCAGAGTTATCTCCACTCACAGTAGAAGGGTCCCAGCCTAGGGATAGAAAGAGAGCAGCAGAGGGGCATGTGATAGGTAAATGCTCTCTAAGGGGGGGATAAGTTTGGGGTTAACTTTCACTCACTGTCATAACCATCCACACTGGTGTCAGTGGGAGCTTAACTTTCACTGCCATTTCCACCAAAGTGAAGGCGTGAAGGGGGGTTAACTTTCGCTGCCATTGACCACCAATGCAGGGAGGAATACATTTTGCTGCCAATGGCCATGAAGGCGGGTGGGGGGGAAGAGGGGTTAAATTTCACTGCCAGTGACCATCAATGTGGTATGGAGGTTAAAAGCTAAGCTTAGTGATGACGCAGAGAGATGGAGACTAATGTAACTGTGCCCATATACTTTGTGGTACACTTCTTGAATTAAGTGTTAAAAAAAAGCCTTCTGAGGAGACAATGGTTTTAAAGAGATTAAACAAGAATCACTTGCTCTGGTCAACAGTCTAACTCTACATTGACAAAATGTTTTTATTGGATAGGAAGTTCTTCTGAGTTATTCATTAGGGTGCGTGTGGGTTGACATTTATAATAAAACATGACATAAATGTCTGCACCTGATTAAACTTCACATTCCTCTAATACCATTAAGCACATAGTTATTTAAGAATGAGCTTGGCTGGCCAGCAATGTTCACTCACAATACATCCAACACCTGGAGCTGTCACATCTAAGAATTTCCACACTAGTAAGGGACACAGCTGCCACCTGATGTTTTGCCAACACGCTATTATCCTTGGACAGAAAAGTTATCTTTTGTGTGATTTTTATTTGGATAATGTTCGCTGAACACTTTCAAAGGTCCAAATAACAGCAAGAGGAAGTATGAGCAGTGTTAAAAATGCAGTATTATTTTACACTTGACTTAACAGCAGCTACTCAATGGTTTTTATATAATGACTATTATTGGTCAGACTTTGGTAGATTTTTTTTCTTTTTTAAACACGAGAAAGCTGACCACCACAAACACCATTTGGAACAGGAACAACATTATCAGCTCTACTGAGACCTACTAAAACCTTTATAATGGTCTAAACACTCTAAAAGTAAATGTAAACCTTAACTAAATTAAACTATGTTTGCTTAAACACTGTATCATATTTTTTTTAAATTAAAGCTGGTTTAGTGATTTACCTTTTTTTTTTTTTTTTTTTTTTTTTTTTTTAAATCAGCACCAGGGACCATACTACATGAATGATGAATGTCCCATGTGCTGGCAGCTGCTCCATTCCTTGAAATCTTCTATTCTCTGTCTCCCAGATACAAGTGGCTTCACTCACTGGTCACAGGCACTCATCAAAAGTGCCAATTATGCCTGTATCTTCTGTTGTCCTGCTCCATTTATAGAAGCTATACTATCAGTTCCTGCAATAAAAAGCACTCCAAGAATAGAGGAGGTGGACCTTTCTTTCATCTGCCTGTACTCCATTCATAGAGCGCTTTTTATTGTGTGACCTGATAGTACAGTTTCTATAAATGGAGCAGGGAACAGAAAGGCCTGGCACAGGCGGTGCTTTCGACGAGTGCCTGTGAGGGTGGAAGTAGTGCCACTTGAATTAACCCCCACAACTTTGGTGGAATTTGGGGGGCTGAGGACAGATGATTTCAAGGAAGAGAGCAGCCACCACGTGGGACATTCAGAATTCATGTATGTACCATTCCTGGTGCTGATTTAGAAGAAAAAAAAATAAATAAATTAGTGAACTTCAGCTTTAAAATACTTGCTTTCACCTTTTTTATCCTTTGTTGCAGCTCAGTGCTGCTGACCTCTTGCAGCCTTTTTTTGTAGCCACTTCCTGACTACAGTCAGTTCAAGGGTTTCAGTTTTTCTAAAAGGATGAAAATGTAATGGAAGCCAAGTAGAAGATTTTAAGTAACCAAGTCCAGCTACTGGTGTCCCAAGCAATAAGAAACTCCGTAAAGAAAATTCTAGAAATATTACCGGAAATTTCCAACAAACTTATAATTGACTGACGCCTAATACAGGCATGGGAAGGTGATGGCTGACAACTGACAATAAAACAACTAAACAACAGAACATGGAAAATGTACTTTCTTTCCACAAATTGGGGCCATCTTACCAATACAATGCATGTAATGAGTGTGGATGTGAAGGCACAACTAGTGCCTGTGCCTCTGAGATTGTGAACATGTTATTTATGTAACAGAAACACAATTCATTTATTCACTCAAGAACGACACATTTCTTTATGCCATTTTAAAACAGGAAAAAATAGAATATAATGAATGGGAAAAAAAAGATCATGGTGCTTTCAGAAAGGAAACACCTGGTTACTGAGTACATAATGTTTCTGGACTTCTGGTGTAAAAATCCTTGAACTAATCAACACCACATTTGGTTACTTTCCACCTGGTCATACAACAAACACATTCTATAATTCCTGGCAATAAATAGGGATTTTGGATGTTTAAAGCCTGAATCCATAGCCTATTATTCGATTAAGTTGTTTCCCGTTGTTATACTTTTATGTCATATTTTGTATTGTCATTTATGTCAACTGTAAGAAGCTCTGTTACTTCACAAATCAAATCAGCTGCTGACTTCAAATATCAGGGCACTTACCTGTCCATGTGTCATGCACCGCCT